TAAATATTCATGAGACTGTCGGCAAAGCGTTCGCCTTTGCTTTGTTTTGAAAGTTACGTTTCCCGAGAGGCACAACTGGACAAACTAAAGCGCCAGCAAAGTCGGCAGGGTTCGTTAACTCGCAGTTTCGCTACTGGATTATCTAAAACAAGTCATGTCTGGACGCGGTAAAGGAGGCAAAGGTCTAGGAAAGGGCGGCGCTAAGCGTCATCGTAAAATTTTAAGAGACAACATCCAGGGCATAACCAAGCCTGCTATCCGTCGTCTAGCTCGCCGCGGTGGTGTGAAGCGTATCTCTGGTCTGATCTACGAAGAGACTCGCGGAGTCCTGAAAGTCTTCCTTGAGAACGTCATACGTGATGCTGTGACCTACACCGAGCACGCCAAACGAAAGACAGTGACAGCCATGGACGTGGTCTACGCTCTCAAACGCCAAGGACGTACTCTCTACGGATTTGGTGGTTAGGGAAGTGCCTGACTACAAGCTCCCCCTTAAAAAAACGGCTCCTTTAGGAGCCAACAAGTCTAACGAAAGTCCCGACCAGCAATAAATGCGATTCATTTTTAACAACAGCAACAAACAGTTCTATGTTGAACTTTAATTTGCGTTACCTTAGTGATGTAAAACAGAAGTTAAGAGTTGCAATAATAGCTGACATTTTTTTTGATCAAAGTTCTGTGTATGTAAAGTGTTGGGTTTTAGGTGTCGAGCGTTGATCAAATTAAGCGCTTGCAAACAAGGCCGTCGAGATAAGAGTTAAATTATGGTGTGTGTTTTCAAGACCAATCTGTTAACAATTTTAAGTTGGAATAGTCTTTCAGTAGGCAAATGAGATGACTGAGACAACTATAACTTTTTTTTTTATAAGAACGTTAAGGCTGAGATTAACCAAGATTTTAAGAACATTCTCCCAGAACATTCCTCGGGTTGAGAGTCGGTTAAGAACGTTTTTATTCCGCTACTCTGTCGATTAGATGACAAGCATAAAATAAGGGTGACAAAAAAATGTAAACTAACCCAACTACTTACGGGCACGCTTTGTATAACATTAACAATGGTTTTCCTATTGCATGACACACATCTCGGCTTGTAGTAATCAGCAGTAGTTCTTATTCATAACTGTTGCATTCTTTCTGTAGCACGCGCCAGCGAATATCTAGATTTGCAAACTGCATGATGAATACACCCACATAGTAAATAAGTTTACTGCCGGACATTTGGATTGCTCTTTCGCTTTTGCCGCCTTCCTGGCCGAACCGAGCAGGACCACTAGACAACGTCTCGAACACTCGTAGGTACTTATTAGATCTTGTAATAAAAGCCGTAGAGAATATATATGAAAGTCACACAAGAGATTAACTCGCTAAGACTGTTTTAAGTCACTTTTATCGACTTCCAGCTGATAAATATAATACACTGGACTTTCGGTTTAAAACGAACGCGCGCATGCCTAATTATTGTACGCCTTGTGTTTTTCTCTATGTGTGTACTGCAGGCAACTTTACATTGATTTCATTAGTTTTGTTTTGTAGTTGAAGCGAATGCCTAACAGGAGG